TGTTCATGAGGTTGTTGATTAGATTTCTCTTGTAGCATATGGGCCTGAAGGAATACCAAACTGTATATTCATCGGTGAACACAGGGTTTTGATAGATTTTTTAAAATGTTTATTCATTTTTGTGGGATGTGGGCATCGCTGGCTGGCAGCATTTAATGCCCATCCCGAGTTGCTCTTGAGAAGGTGGTGGTGAGCTACCCTCTTGAACCGCTGTGGTCCACCTGCTGTGGGTTGACCCACAATGCCTTTAGGGAGGGAATTCCAGAAATTTGACCCAGTGACAGTGAAGGAACAGCAATATATTTCCAAGTCAGGATGGTGAGTGGCTTGGTGGGGAACTTGAAAGTGGTGGTGTTCCCATGTATCTGCTGCCCTTGTCCTTCTAGATAGAAGTGGTTGTGGGTTTGGAAGGTGCTGTCTGAGGATCTTTGGTGAATTTCTGCAGTGCATCTTGTAGATAGTACACACTGCTGCTACTGAGCGTCAGTGGATACTTGTGGATGTGGTGCCAATCGAGCAGGCTGCTTTTTCCTGGATGGTGCATAGCTTCTTGAGTGTTGTTGTGGTTCCACTCATCCAGGCAAGTGGGGAGTATTCCATCACACTCCTGACTTGAGCCCTGTAGATGGTGGACAGACTTTGAGGAGTCAGGAGGTGAGTTACTTGCTGCAGTATTCCTAGTTTCTGACATGCTCGTGCAGCCACTGTGTTTATGTGGTGAATTCACTTGAGTTTCTGATCAATGATAGCTTCCAGTATGTTGATAGTAGGGAATGCAGTGATGGTAACACAGTTGATTGTCAAGGGGCGCTGGTTAGATTGTCTCTTATTGGTAATGTTTAAAGCCTGGCATTTGTGTGGCATGAATGTTACTTGCCACTTATCAGCCCAAGCCTGGATATTTTCCAGATCTTGTTGCATTTGAACATGGACTGTTTCAGTATCTGAGGAGACACAAATGGTGCTAAACCTTGTGCGATCATCAGCGAACATCCCCAATTCCGACCTTATGATGGAGGGAAGGTCATTGATGAAGCAGCTGAAGATGATTAGGCCTAGGACGCTGCCCTGAGGAACTGCTGCAGAGATGTCCTGGAGCTGAGATGACTGACCTCCAACAACCATGACCATCTTTCTTTGTGCCAAGTATGACTCTAACCAGTAGAGAGTTTGCGCCTGATACCCATTGATTCCAGTTTTGCTAGGGCTCAATTTTATTGAATTCAAATTCCACCATCTGCCGTGGCGGGATTCAAACCCAGAACCCCAGAACATTAGCTGAGTTTCCTGGATTAATAGTCTAATGATAATACCACTAGGCCATCACCTTCCTTTGATAGTAGTAGAGAAGCCATTTGCAAACTCCCAACTAATGTATCCAAGAAAAGGGAGCTGATTTTGTTGCTCCATTTCAATGGTAGTTTTGAGTGCAGGATGGAGTTTATTACTCTTCGGCACTGTGGATTCAAATGTAAATGCGTTACGTACATATCAGGCATTTGCAAGGGTAGGAGGTTAGTGGTGATTCAACTGAAGACACTTCTCCTGGTATTCATCAAGGATGTTAGTAAGAGCTGAGCCTCAAGGGGATCCCATGGCAGCATCATCTCTTTGGGCATTCTGGTTTCATTGAACAGTGCGCAGCCTACCTCAGGTTGCCCTGGAAGGGGAAGATGTCTCAAACATCTGAACAATGGATGAAGCTAGCCGTCTCAAGCAACTACTATTGTAGTAAACCCACGAGTGATTTTCTTCACTGACAGAGGATGTATTTGCCTGTCACACAAATGACTAATTTGAGTTTCAGTGCCAATGTGATGCCAGGTATGTAGGCCATTCTCGATAACTGGCAGATCATGTCAAATAACACCTCGTTTTGACTGTCCGCAGTGGGCAGTATGCCAACTGCACTCAACCAATCTGTGCTTGCAAAACTCAGAACATAGTATCCAATATGAGATGTGATTTTACTATTGGACAACATTTACTAAGTAATCCTGACCATGTTGTGAATTTCACTGGAATCCAATTTTAACAGAATCAATTGGGCTTGCAATGTGCACGTGCTGGAAGCTCCATATATTAACACACAGGACCCTGTTGTACATAGGCAAAAGGAATTCGTTCATGCGTTGTGTTTTTTCTCAATGGGTAAAGGGTCATAGAGCTGCCAATCCCTGCTGCATTCCCCATGTTAACACCCTGACCAATCAGAGTCTACCTTTCTGGCCTGAGTTTAATCAGATATCAAAGATTGACAGTTAATAGTTCCTGCTGCATCTCCATGCCAACCATCGTCCCACCATCAGCACCCTCTTCTCACGCTGTATAAATTGGTGTTCCCTTTCAAAGCTTGGTTTCTTGCATTCCAGTCCTGATGAGGGCAAGACAAAAAGTTTTGATTTTGTCTCTACCTTTTGCCATTTTTCAGGGGGATGTTGTTTGATTTAATTTCATTTTGAAGCGTGATGATTATTTTAGTAAGACTGGTGTGAGATTTCCCTTCTTCCCCCTCACCGTCACCTCCCACATCTGCACACAAATTGAAGTCAAATGTAGTTGCCTTGGCAATGCTGGTAGGTTTTCTTTCACTTCAACTAACAAAGAAATAGCTTTTGCTGGTTTGGGAAACAATTATAGATAGTTTTGAAGTTAGAAGTGTGGCTCAGTTATTAAGTGTGAATATGGTTTAAGGAACTCAGTCACACAGACTGGAAATGTCCCAAGTTGGATTTGAGGCTACTGTTGACTATTAAATGATCTTAAATGCAGCCGCATAAAAGTCTAGAAGGCTGGTGAAGCCAAGGCCTATCTTATGCTGGACCAGCGGTCGCCTGTTTGGCTCCGTCCGAACTTCCCAGGAAATCTGAAACGATTTCCCACTGGCTGGCCTCACAATCCCAAACAGCAAAACTGATTGACAATGCTCTTGTTAGTTTTCTTTTGAGGTGGGGTTAGTCTTCCCAACTTTGAGGCCAACCTTGGGAGATATGGAGGGGTTAAAAGAAAGCAGCCAACTCAATAAGCACAGTTGGAAAATGATAACGAATGGTTTCTGAGGTTGTTGGTGGGGAGGATGGTCACAGGAAGGCCCCATTTCCACAAGAAGGCCCCATTGGTGCAGCAACCTGCTGACTTTCTTTGAATTATTTGCCTTGCTGATTGAAAAAGGTCACGAAAAGCTCCTTCAAAGCTTACGCAGGAAGAATAGCAATTTGAGTGGAGAAGGCTAAAAGCATTCAATGCCCCAATATGAATTTGACTTTTCCCTTCAGTTCAACAAGTGAGAGTACTGGGCAGGAGAGGGGTACTGGGAAATGGGGATGCAACAAAAAGCCAGTTGACAGCAATAGAGCAGCTCTTGAATCACGTTTTTGTTTCTATTCCACAGCAACAAGAGCAGGATCCAACGAACCTGTACATCTCCAACCTGCCACTAACTATGGATGAGCAGGAGCTCCAGAACATGCTGAAACCTTTCGGTCAGGTGATCTCCACGAGGATACTGCGGGATGCCAATGGTACCAGCCGAGGTGTTGGCTTTGCCAGGTAAGGATGGTTTGAATTAAGTTTGTCCGAACATGGGGCTAATGGAGTTTACCCTACTTTTGGTCTTGGTCTTCACTGGCAAGCTGGGCACAGGTTTAAATAAAGAGAGGCAATTCCTGAGCTTGGGGCCCAGGCAACTACAGGCATGGCCACCAATGGTAGGGCTGAAGGAAACCAGGGATACTGAAGGAGGTCAGAATTAGAGGTGCACACAGATTTCTGAAGATCTTGGGTTTTTTTTTAATTCCTTCTCCTCCACCCATCAACCTGTTCAGGGATGGTACAACACACCTCTGGAGCAGGTGGGATTCAAACCCAAACCTGGTTGGCTTAGAGGTAAGGACAGTACCACTGCACCACAGGAACCCTGCCCTGAAAGCTGGATCCTCAGCAGGGTAGTTGAAGAGGAAAATAGCAGAGGCCTGGAATCAATTGAAGACTGCAGGTGCAGCAGGCGGTGAAGAAGGTAAATGGCGTGTTAGCCTTCATAGTGAGAAGGTTCGAGTCCAGGAGCAGGGATGTCTTGCTGCAATTGTACAGGGCCTTGGTGAGACCACACCTGGAGTATTGTGGGCAGTTTTGGTCTCCTTACCTGAGGAAGGATGTTCTGGTGATGGAGGGAGTGCAGTGAAGGTTTACCAGACACATTCCTGGGATGGCAGGACTGATGAATGAGGAGAGACTAGATCGATTAAGACTGTATTCACTGGAGTTTAGAAGAATGAGGGGGAATCTCATAGAAACCTATACAGTTCTAACAGGTTTACAAACTTGGGGTGTGTTTTCACTTGAACGTTGAAGGATGAGGGACGACGTGGTAGAAGTTTACAAAACTATGTGAGCATGGATAGTTGGAGTCTTTTTGTAGAAATGTCAATTACTGGAGGACCTAGGTTTAAGGCAAAAAGGGGAAAGTTTAAAGGAGATGGGAGAGGAAAGGTTTTTTATACAGAGGGTGGTAAGTGCCTGGCATGCACTGCCAGAGGAGGTAGTGAAGGCAGATACAATAACAATATTTAAGAGACATCTTGACAAAAATAGGCAGGGAATAGAGGAATACGGACCATGTAGAGGCAAAAGCTTTTAAGTTTAAAAAGGTATCATGTGATGGCGCAGTCTTGGTGGGCCAAAAGGTCTGTTCCTGTGCTGTACTGTTCTTTGTTCTATGATAAACGCAGGGTAAATGCAGGAAGGATGTTTCCAATGACCGGGGAGTCCAAAACCAGGGATCGCAGTCTCAGGTCATTCAGGACTGAGATAAGGATAAATGTCTTCTCACAGAGATTGGTGAGCCTGTGGAATTCTTTGCCACAGAAAGCAGTTAAGGCCAAAACATTGAATGTTTTCAGGAAGGAGTTCGATATTGTTCAGAGAGTTAAAGTGATGAAAGGGTTTGGGAGAAAGCAGGAACAGGGGACTGAGTTGGATGATCAGCCATGATAGTATTGAATGGGGGAGCAGGCTCAAAGGTCTGAATGGCCTACACCTGCTCCTGTTTGCTATGTTTCAATGAAAAGCCTACTTTCCTAGTGAGGTGACTGATGATGTACTGTCCTTATGACAATTTGCAAGGAGTCCAAATGTTTCACTCCTCGATTAGCTCACCCCACCTCAGAAAAAGGAACTTGATCCTCAAACAGGACAGGCTGAGGATGTAGATGGTACAATGACGCCCCCGTGTGTACAGATGGGATTATAACATTAATGATCTTTCAAATGACTGCATTCCAGACCCTGTGCACGTCTTTGTTTTTGAGCTTTTATTAACAAAAAGTGTCAAAGAGCAGGATTCCAGCGTCCTGGGTGGTGTTGTGTGAAACATAGCCTTGTATCATAATGGACCTAAAGTCCAGGGTCAATCCCAGGCTGTGCTGAGTTAGCTGGGGCATTAAAGTTAGCCAGAACCCAGGGCTTGATGGAACGTGGGTAAATCTATATGTATGGCTGTTTGAGAGAGAGGGAGAGGTAGAGGTAGAGTGTGTGAGAGAAAGACAGTCTGTGTGTGAAAGAGAGAGACAGTCTCTGTGTGTGAGAGAGGGGGAGAGCGTGTGTGAGAGATGGGGAGAGCGTGTGTGAGAGAGGGGGAGAGTGTGGTGAGAGAGAGGGAGACTGTGGTGTGTATGTGTGTGAGAGAGGGAGAGAGTGGTGTGTGCATGTGTGTGAGAGAGGGAGAGAGTGTGTGTGTGAGAGAGGGAGAGGGAGAGAGTGTGTATATGTGTGAGAGAGAGAGGGAGAGAGTGTGTGTGTGTGTGAGAGAGAAAGGGAGAGTGTGTGTGTGTGTGTGAGAGAGAGAGGGAGAGAGTGTGTGTGTGTGAGAGAGAGAGAGGGAGAGAGTGTGTGTGTGTGTGTGAGAGAGAGAGGGGGAGAAAGTGTGTGTGTTGTGAGAGAGAGAGAGGGAGAAAGTGTGTGTGTTGTGAGAGAGAGCGAGAGAGGGAGAAAGTGTGTGTGTTGTGAGAGAGAGAGGAAGAGTGTGAGAATGTGAAAGAGTGTATGTGAGAGAGACTGTGGAATGTGTGTATGTGAAAAAGAGAGTGTCCGTGAAAGAGAGAGTGCATGTGTGAGAGCGAGAAAGAGTGTGTGTGTGTGTGTGAGCGAGAGACAATATGTGTGTGTGTGACATATAGACAGATGGCATGAGTTGTCTGAGAGAGGGTCAGTATGTGTGTGTGAGAGACAGCGAGATGGTGTCTGTGTGCGAGAGTGTGTGTGTGAGTTACAATGTGTGTGTGAGAGGGGGGAATGTGTGTGTGAGAGGGAAGGAGAGTGTGGTGTGTGTGTGAGAGGGAGAGTGTGAGAACGAGAGACTGTGTATGTGAGAGAGTGCGTGTGAGTGAGAGACAGTGTGAGTGCTAGTGTGTGTGAAAGAGAGAGACCGTGTGTTTGTGAGCGTCTGAGAGAGAGACAGTACGTGTGTGTGGGTGAGAGCAAGACGGTGTCTGTGTGAGAGAGAGGGAGAGAGTGTGTGTGTGAGAGAGAGAGAGAGAGAGAGGGAGTATGTGTGCGTGTGTGTGTGTGTGCGCGTGTGCATAAGACAGTGTGCGTGAGAGAGTGTTAGAGTGTGTGTGTGTGTGAGAGCGAGAGACTGTGTGTGTGTGAGAGAGAGCAGGATGTGTGTGTCCTGAGAGAGAGAGAGACATTGTGTGTGTGGGAGAGAGTGCATGTGAGAAAGAGAAAGTCTGTGTGTGGGAGAGAGAGAGAGCGACAGTCTCTGTTGGTCTGAGAGAGAAAGAGAGAGTGTATATGAGAAAAGAGTGAATGTGTGAGAGAGACTGAGTGCCGTGTGAGAGAGTGTGTGTGTGTTTGAGAGAGAGAGTGTGTGTGTGAGAGAGGGAGAGTGTGTGTCTCTGTGTGTGTGTGAGAGAAAGAGAGAGAGGCAGAGTGTGTGTGTGAGAGGGAGAGTATGTTGTGTGTGCACGTGTGAGAGAGGGAGGATGTGGTGTGTGTGTGAGAGACAGGGTGTGTGTCAGAGGGAGAGTGTGCTGTGTGTGCATGTCAGAGAGAGACAGTGGGATGTGTGTGTTTGAGAGAGATGGAGGGTGTGAGAATGAGAGACTGTGTGTATGTGAGTGTGTGTGTGAGCGAGAAACGGTGTTTGAGCGACAGAGGGAGTGTGGTGTGTGTGTGAATGTGAGAGAGAGAGAGAGAGTTTGTGTGTGTGTATGTGTCTGTGACAATGTGTGTGAGAGAGGGGGAGAGTGTGTGTATGAGAGAGAAGAAAATGTGTGAGTGAGAGAGGGAGAATGTGTGTGTGAGAGTGGGAGAGGGTGGTATGTGTGTCTGAGAGAGTGTGTTTGTGATAATGAGAGACAGTGTGTGTGGGAAAGAGTGTGAGACAGTGTCTGTGTGAGAGAATGAGAAAGAGTCTGTGTGTATGTGAGAGAGAGATTATATGTGAGAAAAGAGTGTGTGTGAGAGAGACTGGGATTGCTGTGTGAGAGAGAGAGTGTGTGTGTGTACACGTGAGCATGTGAGACAGTCCGTGTGTGAGAGAGAGAGAGACTGTGTGTGTGTGTGCACGTGTGTGTGTGTTTGTGTGAGAGAGAGAGAGGGGGAGAGAGTGTGTGACAGAGAGGGGAGACTGTGTGTATGAGAGAGAGGAGAGTGTATGTGTGAGAGAGGGAGAATGTGGTGTGTGTCTGATAATGAGAGACTGTGTGCGTGTGAGAGAGGGGGTGAGTGTGTGTGAGAGAGAGACAGTCTGAGTGTGAGAGAGTCTGTGTGTGTGCGAGAGATTGTGTGAGAGACTAAGATTGCTGTGTGAGAGAGAGTTTGTGTGTGTGAGTGGGAGTGTGTGTGCGTGCGCGCAAGCATGTGAGACAGTCCGTGTGTGCGAGAGAGTGTGTGTGAAAAAGAGAGTAAGTATGTGAGAAAAAACTGTGTGAGTGAGAAACGATAGAGTGCATGTGTATGTCTGTGTGTACGTTGTGACTGAGGCACCACACCCCTGCACTGTGATGATCCCCACTTAGTGATTTGCTTCATGTATGAAGAGGTTACTTGAGGAAGAAACTGCTCCGTTCAAAGGTTTGCATCACTGGGAGACAAAAAAATTGCCCGATTTCTTTTTGGAACTGTTATGCCATCTCTTGAAGAAGACACGTGTGAGAATTGGGAAAGATTTTCCACTTTTTGATGGGGGACTGTGGGCTCCCAGTGCTGTTGGTCAGCATTGGGAAATCACAGGCAGGCCCTTGCTGGAATTTAACGGTATTAAATGTTTTCCCCACCTTGGTTTTGTCAGTGTACAACTTTGTGAGCCCCTACCTCCCACCAGCTCGGCCTTGGTGTTTGTCCGTCTTGATTGCCTTTACCAAGGCTGTCCTTGAGCAGCTGAGAAGCTTCGGGCCAGCCTTGTCCTGACTCAGGGCTATCCACTGTCAAGGCGCATGGAGCGTCAAGTTCTCACTTCGTCCCATCAGAGCACCACTTGTCCCTCACGGCAGTTTAGCAGTCAAATCTAGGAAGCACAAGACCTCTGCACACTCTCTCTCCAGAAACAA